GTCTAAGAGCTGTAGAACTTCGTCCGGCTCCCACCTAGCCGTTTTCAGTTGAAAAGTCACCACATTCACCAGCTTCTGGCAGGTACCCCGCATGTCGACCAGCAGAAGCTGTGGACGAAAGTCAAATTCGTACTTCATTGCGCTCTTTGCCACTTCCACTGCTAGTGTCGGCAGTTCGTGTTTCCAAAACACAGAATCGTAGAGCGACCACTTTTCCGTTAGATCTAGACCTTTATTCAGGACAGCCACCACCGAGGGCTGTTTTTTTGAAGCCATTCCCTGCACGAAGGCACGGCTTGCGCTGCTCCAAAAGTTCACAACCGGACCTTGATCTATCCTCCACGCCTTGAAACAAGGTGTTGAAGCACCCGGATCGCCTCTGCAGCCAAGAAGATCGTTGTTGTTCCGGACCACTTTGCCCAGAACCGTGCTGGGGTGCACGATGCTCGCGTCCACCATGTCAGCAAAAGCCTCCAAGGCCGTCTGGTTGAGTCCTCGAGGATCGCCGTCGTGAAAACCCGCCCATAGCATCGCTTCTTGGGGCGCAAGGGCTAATTTGGAAGATAAGCTGTCGGAACGGTAAGCCCCTATAAACCACCCGAAGAACTCCTGGAGGCATTCTTGTTCGGAAGCCCTTTCCAGCTTCATGCATTCCTCAACAAGGTCGTCTATGAGCCCTTGCACCTCACTTCGGCACTGAGTCCTCAAGTTCTTCGTCATGATGGCAGTCAGGGTGCCCAAATTGTCGGGTCCAACCGGGTCAATGAGATCAGTATTCCAACAGTCCTGCTTGCAAAAACTCGGCTCTAGATCTTAGACTAAACTTGTGGGCTGGCTCTGTGCTTCGATCACTTAACACAGCGAAAGCGTGAAAGCAGGCGGGTGGCTACGGGTTTCAATGTCCTCCTCATGGGATGTGGAGAAATCTCTGGCAGCTCGGATCGCAACCGCAGGGATGGCGCCGAAGGCCAAGCACGCCATGGTTCTGAAGGAGAGCATGATGAGGTTCGCAGAGCACGGCGTGCGCAGGGGCAGGTCAGTGCCGAGCCAGAAGCTGCGCATCAAGGACTAATGTAGCGGCCCTAATAGCTAGAATACGGTTTTTTGGGGGGGTTCCTTACTACAATCATAGTATAACATACCCCCAAACCCTATTGTAATTACTAAGGCCCCTAAACCCTTATTCCTTATAGTAGCCCTTATAGAACCCTTCAAAGGAACCCCTGCCCGCTTGGGAGCATTGAAAGCCGCCAGAAGCCAGGGTTTCGGGTTTCGGGGTTTCGCAAAAGATGCTAGGGTTTAGGGTTTAGGGTTTAGGGTTTAGGGTTTAGGGTTTAGGGTTTAGGGGCCTGACTAATTACCAAAACTATTTTGTGGAGTTCCTTAGCATAATTCTAGTATAATGAGTCCCAAAACCCTATTCTAATTAGTAAGGCCCGTATATTAGTGCTTTGGTAACAATGGAGGTAAGAACCCTCAAGAACGCCGCCTACTGGACTCGGATTCTCCGCTTCTCGAGCGGGGGTCCTATGTTGTTGAAAAACCCAGACTTCGACAGAGCCTGGTGGCCGCTGGGCTCCTAAGAAACATCAAACGCGTACAGATTTGACGGCGCTTCATAAGCCAAGGCCCCTCAACTCACTGCATCAAACACCGGCGCATCCTCAGGGGAATCCCTAGACTCCAAAACGCAAACGCCTAACACCCAAGAACCCGAAACCCAAAGCCCCACAGCCCATATGGGTAGTTCTCTAAAGTAGGGTCCCCTTTTAGGTCCCCAATCTAGTATGGCACCCTTATAAAAAGGACCCTAAAAAGGGGCCCTAATTTAGAGAACTACCCATATCCAAAACGGCACCGTCCCTGCACTGTTCGCCTGCTCGCCCTTCTCGGCCTCCCTTTGCCTCCAGCTCCCGTGCTGGCCTTGGAAGGTTTGCCAAGGAAAGGGTTTAGGGTTTAGGGTTTAGGGTTTAGGGTTTAGGGTTTAGGGTTTAGGAAAAAGTTTACAGTAAACCCCAATAAGTTGGAAACCAGATTAAGGACACTTAGTCCTGGGATTCCCTAGCAGCAGGACAAGTAGTTGTGAAACACTAAACCTAAACACTAAACCCTAAACCCTAGTACATGTGTAAATCCACTCAACGTATCTGATGCCCATGCAAGACATGGGCTGGCTGTGAATGTTTGATCCTAAACTTAAACCTCTAAACCCTAAATAACACTAAACCCTGAAAAAAACATTAACAAACCCAAACCTAAACCCTAAAAAACACCCTAAACCCTAAATAACCCTAAACCCTTAAACAAAAACCCTAAACCACTCCTTAACTAGAAAGCTGCACGCTGTTTCGGTTCTCAGCCTTCCCCCGCGGGGTCTAACCCAGACCTCCGAGCCCCCTCCAAACCCGCAAGCTTCTGGCTTGAA